CCTCCCTCGCTCGCTCGCTCTGTCTCGCTCTCGTTCACTCCCCCGACACGATCAGCCCGTACACGTACACACCCGCAAAGCGCATCGGGACAGCAACAGCAGCAGAGCAGACGCGAGGCAGAAGCGAGCTTCGCGGGGCCAGGCCGGCCGGCCGCGGAGTCACCGCACCGCCTTCCCTCCATATCGCGCCGCGCCCGTAAATAAGCCCCGGCGAGGTGTTTTATGACGTTCGGTTGGCAGCGCCTGGCAGCGCCGGCCCCGGCGCGCGCTTGTTTAACGTCTCTAAGTGTGGCTGTTGGCAGCACTTTATCCACCACCAGCCGCCGCCCCTTGCCCTCTCTCCGGGTGCACGACAACCTGGAGAGGAGGGGGGCCTTCAGCACCGAAATGATGCAGCCTGATAACTTCCCCTTTCAGTTTCAGGGTGTAGCCAACCTCGTGCCGCGTTGCAAGTGAACTCGCACTACTTAGCGATGAACTAATACGGGCGCCCAGGTGGAGGCCAGACCTAATAAGTAAGCCTGTCATTTGGCAGGTCTCTGGTATTTATAGTCTTGGCAGACGCGCAGCGCCAGCTGCCGGCGGCGTGCCCTCTCTCGGCCCTGCGGATAGCGCTCGCTGCTGTCGCTGTCACCCGGATAGGTCACTTCGCCATCGCGCAGGGTTGCCTGCGTCCGGCCTGCGTCCGGCCTGCGTCCGGCCTGCGTCCTCCCAGCAAAAAAATAAATAAATAACAAAAACCGTAAATTTTCAAAGAAATATGCGTTTTCCGCCCAAGTTACATTATCGAGATTTTCGTTTGACAGGGCAGCAGGTCGTTAGTTTTGGCGAAAACGCACGTATTGCAATGTTTCCCGGCTTGTTGGCCGCGGCCGTGTTGGTCTCGTTCACCCGCTGCGAGGCGCGGCCCGAGTGTGTGATTCATGATCCGAGCTTTGTTGACACGTACTCGCGTGAGAGAGAGGGGGGAGAGAGAGAGAGAGAGAGAAAGGGAGGGGGAGGGAAGAGAGAGGGAGAGAGAGGGGGGAGGGGGGGGGGATAGAGAGGTAGATCCGTATAGGGACGGGGTAGAAAAGAGAGAAGGGGGGGGGCAGTTTGCCATCAAATAGGCGCTCTCCCCCGCTAACTCAGCTATCGCATTAATAATACACCGCGTTGCGTTTGCGCCGGACCGTCGATACGCCATGCCGCGGACGTGGTCGGTTGTGTGCGAGAGCGCGCGCACGCGCGAGGCCCACGCGTCCGAAGAAAAAAAAAACACACAACGCAACTTCAGGTGTGACGGTGGTGCGATGCATAGGCACAGGGAAGTAGTGAGGCGCAGGCGGAGAGTCACAGCTATACGCGAGGGTTCTTAACAAGCCCTCGGTAGTGCCCGGAGCGCACCTCCCACTGTTTACCGCCCCATGTGTCGTGCAAAGGACTCCGACTGAGCGAAACGACCTGTCGCCCGCCGCCGACAAGTCTCTCTTTCTCCCGAGGCCCTTCAGGTCGGCCTTCCAGGACTCGCGTCGATATACTGTTCTCCTCAAAACGATTCCTGAACGTCGATTAGGGCGGTGCGGCCGCGACTTGCCGCCCGTCGGCCCCGCTGCTGCCGGGCGGGCCGAGCCTTGCCGCAGCCGCCGTACGTAACGCCCGTTTCGTTCCAGCGGCTGTGTGGTCCCGCCGAGGGTCCCCCCCATGCCTCGGGTCCCGGACTCGACTCGACGAGCGACTGTCCTGTCCAGCCTTCGTCTTATTTCGGGGCAGGCCGGTGTGCAGCACGGTCTTTGTAGACGCGCATGCCGGAGCCTCGCCCCGCCCCGCCCCGCC